TTTTGTTGACCTTTGTCCATGGAAGGTCCCTGCAAAATTTCATTGAAATTGGTTCAGGGGTTTTGGAGAAGAAGTCGAAAATGTAAATTGTTTACGGACGCACGACGGACGACGACGGACAAAAGGCGATCGCAATAGGTCACTTGAGACTTTGTCTCAGGTGACCTAAAAATGGGTGTCTACTGTCTAGGGAAATTCAGTCAAACAGGAAGTGTAGGAAGGGTCTAAAGTGTTACAATGGAACATCAGATCATCTATTTTAGCTTCTCAAATATCAGTTAAGAAGACACCCCCCTCTCCAGTCAGTAGGGGGCTTCACCTTAAGGTCTATTCAATTTCTTTACCCAAACCTGCAGTGGGGTTAAATGGAAACAATGGACACTGGACAATCCGGATGAAGAAGAGAGGGAAGGAGGGTGGGATCTCATAAAGTTATGGTAGGTTTTACTTTTCTTCCTGCAGAGATGTTAATTCTCCGTTGATATTATTTGAAGGTTACAACAAATCTATAGCACATGTATATATATAATATAATCTAGAAAAGATGAAACTTCTTTCAAAATTTCTGAACACTTTTATTTGAAATTTTGGAAATAATCCTATAACAACTTCTTTCATTTTTATGCTTAAAGCATATATGTATAATGGCATTTGTCTTGGATACTAGTTCAAGTACAACATGATTACCTCTATTTCAGACTTGCAGCGTCTATTGCTTCTGCGGATAGGGAAGTAGTCTGTGACTAGCGAGTTGTTTAGTTGATCTGATTCAGCATTTCTGTAACATACAATTGAAAATACAGGAAACCTGCATATGAAAATCAAACACTAATGACACTGGTCTTTTGTTGAATTCAATTTACAAAGAAATGCATAGTCCATTGGACCGGATTGAAACCAAGGATTACATGACTGTCTGGATTATAGTATACAAGTTTGGCATCGACAGTTTACACTATACACATGTATAATTACAGTTACAACTACACTATTTGTTAACATTATCACGTCTGTTAATAGTATGTGATAATCTTATCACCATTGTTCTCTAAATCGTAACTCAATATGATCATGATATGTCCAATATGAAGTCTAAATCACAGTATATATATATTCACCCTTTGTTTTCATTTTTTTACAATCACATCCACTTTGCTCTGAAAGATTGAAGATGGCTAACTAGCTATTAATACAGTTAGTATACAAGTGAAGTAATACAGAGACGACTTACTTCTTAGAAGACTTTTTCCTGCCTTTTCTAGAGGTAGATTCTGATGTGCCATTGGTTGTTGTGGAATCTGATACTTTTTTATTCTTTTTTCCTTTCTCCGATTTCACTGCTGTACCATTTTCTAATATAACCTAGATGATATTATACAAAGAGTGTACAGTTTATCATATAACTAGATGGATTTTTTTAGAGATCTTGAGACACAAGGAAATAATACAGTATTTCTTATATTGACAAGTGTTTAGTAAACTAAAATTTCCAAGGAAAGATTATTATTGATGTTTAATGTACTCAGGAATGGAAGGTATGTCATAACATGTCATATATTGACATATCAAAACCTATGATCACATCAATTTTTAACATGAAACATGTGATGTCACCATCATGATCTCATGGATAAATACATGTACAATAACAACATAAATTAATTATGAAAAGCAATACTTTAAAATTTACATCAACTAAATTAAAACTAAACTAAATTGATTTCTTCAAATTAACTTTGGGAAATGCTGTACTATATATATGTATACATACTATACATTGTATTTTACACATGCTTAAGTTTTAAGCTTCATCATGAAGCTTTACCAGGTCACGGTTCAGGGATGAGGGAAAATTTGGTTGGTATGGGAGAAAAGGTTCGCTCTTCAACAAAGCATTAAAAAACTGACCTGCTTAGAGGGAAGATCAACACTAGATTGGCTGTCAGAGTCACTTTTTTCCTCCTTCACATTAGCCGTCGCCATGCCATCTTTTACAGGAGAAGCTTCAGGAGTAAGCAGACCATTCGGAATCTTCTGAACTGGTTTCTGTTCTTTTTTTACTTTAAAATCTGTTGTAATGTCAATTTGCATTAAATAATCTGTGTCAAGGTATGTTATGCAAAAATAATAATAAATAAAACAAGAGGCCCATGGGCCTTAACGGTCACCTGATATATTTATACAGAGAGTTGATTTTGTTTTTAACATGTACAGAAATATTATTCAAAGTGACAAAAAACAATAAAACCACCTTATTCAATATCTAGCATACAGATTTAAATTGTAAGACTAAAAAGTATTTGAAACTAGCAACTCTGATTCTAAACAAGGAAAATGAAGAAATTTTAGCACACTGACTCCTTTGGGCCCCACCCTAGGCCTACAGCCCTTAGGGGTACGGCTAGCTCAAAATTTTCAAAGTATCAAACTGTCAACTCAAGGTTATAATTCCAATCAAGTTATTAACATGTAATATTCAAAGTATCATTTGCCATTATAAACCATAATATTTTGCCACAACTTTGTCTCAGGTGACCTAAAAATCATACACATATATAGAAAATCTTTGTTGAAATACATAAACATTGCAAAAATCATTGGGGGAATAGAACTGATGACAAATTGAAGCATTTTTTTGTGTTTTCTAATAATGTAGGATTTCCTGAGGTATTATTTCCGTAAAAAAATCATTTCAAGTATATTACTGACTTAACTTTCTCCCAACTGCTCAGAAGGCAGAAAACATTCTAGATGCAAGATATAATTATGTTGATTAAATACTTCTAGTTTTGCTTAACACGTCTGTAGTGATGTACAGGCATTGTATTTGACATGCGCAGTGAGTGTGAATAAAACCGGAACTCCCATGTGAAACCTTCAATGGTGTTGTACTTTGTACATGTGGTTAAACCCGTGCCATCCTATGGGTGAAAACAATGTCAGTGTTATGATTTTTAATGTAGGGAATAAATGAAGGAACCTTTTTTGAAGAGAGGTGTTTCTTAATCTGGAAAAAGTGGACTTTATTATATGAAGATAATGTAGGTAATGGTTACTTTTTGAACTCATATTTTTGTTCGTAAATGTAATTTCCTAATATCGGGTAAGCAAAAGGGCATTATCCATATTTACGTAGAAAAAGCCCTGTAGGACATTGGCTTAAGTGAAATGAGATGCATCATATATTTTACAACTTATACTGCTCACCCTTACCTTGAAGTTTTCCTTTTTGAGGCTTAGGACTTGCTGGAAAGTAATCTGTGATTCTTGATGTCAATGGTGAAGAACTAGGAGATACCTCTTTAATTTGGTCTGCCATTTTTTCCTACAAAAGTAATTCAATTTTAGTGTTCAGCCAGATAAAAGGCTGCTTCCCCTTCCAAAAGGAAGAAAATATTAGGAGTATCTTCCAAATTCCCCCCGTTTTAAAATTCAGATAGAAAAAAAAGAACTGTGATTTACCAGTCATAATGGCATAAAATTTAAACTTTCCAAACAATATGTAATGTTTTTATGGTCATCAGTTGCCTAACTTGTCACACATCCTATACACAAATATAAAGTTATAATTTCCTGGTTCATCATTAAAGCAGTTGGCTGACAGTTCTAGTTGTTAAAGGTTTTGAGGTCGCATCACAGAGCATTTCAAACTCCCTCCCTCGAAATAAGAGTTACTGCCCTTAATAAGTAGCTTACCATGGATATTTTCCTCAGTTTTCTAGTCATTAATTATAACTTATTAGTTGAAATAAAGTGATTCCGTGACAGAATAATTGTTTTTATTTGACAATAGAATTTTCCATTGGAAACATACACCATTTGTTAAGTCATTGTTTTTTAATAGATACATGTGCGAGCTGCAGTGTGTGGTGAATGAAATATAAGTAATATGAAATATGAATAAGAATGTAAGTTTATATAATTGTCTTATTATTATTTTATTCCGATAGCACCTGTCTAGATTTCATAATTACCAACATATTCGGTCTATATAACTGATACACATCTACCCCAAATGACGGCGAAGTTTGTAATGAGTGTGGTTTCAAAACACAGAAGATACAAATCCCTCAAATTTTAAACATTCTAATTTTGATCCTATGTGATGCTGTGTGAGTAAATGACCCAAAAAAATATCCCAAAATTTGTTCAAATATTGATTTTCATTAAGTTAAAATATGATTGTTTGACCAAAATCTGTATCATTCCAGTTTGTAAATGAACGTAATCCGTATCATACAGGGTCTTAATCTGTTTAGCATACATAAGTTATACCAACTGTATATTTTGATAAAAATTTCGCTTAAACATGTGTTAAGTTCAAACTATTCAATGTTGTTTTGTTGAGTCATTGGCCAAGACATGTGTTGTGTAAAAGTAATTTAATTAAATAGTTATTACATTCAAATCTCCACAAAGTTGTTTGTAAACTGATGTCTGTATATATATATGATTATTCAGTCAAAACCAATTCAATCTTCAAATATTGATATAGCAGCTTAAGACATACTTATAGCAAATAGACTGAGTTACAATGGAAAGTTTTCAGTATTTATACAAGAAAGCATTCTTCCATCATGGCAGAATTGTACAGCTTATTTGCTTGTACAAGCAAATATGTCTCGTATTAGGCGCAAAACGTTATCCGACGTAACCCAAACAGTGAGTATTACTCTGACGTAAGAGAAATAGCAAGTATTGGGATAACCCCCGGGTTACCTTCCACAGACATAACACTCATAAAACACAAATCAAGTTAAAGGGAGATCACTCTCACTATATTGCCGTACTCTAATTTGCGACTGGGCCTGTTCGTTTATGCGGAATAACCGGTTGGACCGTTATAAATGTCACAATTGCGGGTATACACCCTGGCGGACCTGCAAGTGTTTATGCAGGCTTTGTCAAGGCTCGCCTGAAAGCAGCATCAGATTACTAGGTCTGACCTTATTTAATAAACAAACAACAGTGGTCCGACCGGTTTGACCGTTTAAACGAAAACGGCCTAACAAGAACAAAATCTAGCATGGCTATTGAAAAAGTTTTTTCATGGAAAAGCAAGGAATGCTTTATGGTACAATCAAAAGTGAATAATGCTATATTTGTTTTAGATTACAGTAACTACTTTCAGTAACCAGAAAATGTTCAGTCAACTTACACATCAGTGAACAATGTTTGTTGCCACAGGCTGTTCAGTCACTGAGTCTGGTTAATTTCTTTGTTTATTATAGGGAAAACATAAACTTATTACATAAATTAATCAGCAAATGACTAACTACATTTGCTTAATCATGATATATGAAAATGTATACCTGATTAGTAACCTCAAAGGTACCGCGAACCTGTGTTGGATCTCTTCGCGTTCCCAAATTTCGTCTGATTGTTTACGTCCTGTGATTGGTCAATTGACATCTCGCAAAGTTACGAACTAGTAATATTGTTTTTTATCAAGTATTTATCTAAATCACTTGTGTCATGAACAAATTATTATTATATCCGGATAAAAGCTTACATGTTTCAAAATTTTAATATTGGTCAAAATATATCGAACTTATATTTCGACGTCACGTACTACGGAACTCTGGGTAGTGCAGAGTATGGTGGAGTCGAATCAGCAATGAAAAGCTGTGCGGCCGTGTCTTTCAAGTGATGGCCAATGAAGCTAATGTAAGGCGTTTTGGTCTTTAAAATGTCGTTTCATTAACAATAAAATACATTATACATACAATGATCATCAAAAATAGTATACTTTCCCGCTTTAAAAAGGGTTAAATATGATTTTGTTCTGGTACCCATGTGCTCCTTCCTTGTTTCTTTTTCGTTAACGAAGAACGCATTACGCTAGTGTCTAATCATGATTTCGCAATCATGACATGATGACATGTCTATTTTAAAACACTGTGTGGTGTTAATCGTTTGTTCATCTTGATAAGTTAGTTTTGTATGTTGAGGCCTTCACACATTGAATTTGCACAGCTTGTACATGAAGGACACTACTGCGATAGTCGAATAGTTACATTGAAGGATATCGGCCATGCTTTATGTCGAGGTATGGAATGAAACAGTGCCGGCTTGTTTGAAATTTGATTCTCTTGAAATTCTTACTCCAGGGACTGTCTTCACGAAACCGTTCTCATGCTTAAGCATGGATTTTGTACTGGAGACGGATTTTCTTGTTCCCGTTAAAAATTAATGATTTGGAAAAACATTGAAGAGACTTGAGTCCAAAAACTGTTTTCAATGTTTACATTTGACATTTGGATCGTTTTATCATGATTAAAGCGAGTTAAAAGAAGGTTGGTGTGAGCACAGAATCCATGCTTGAGCACGGGCCCATGTTTTACCCCTCTTAAACATGACGTTGAATGTGTTTCACCTTTGGTACTGTAGTCTGTAGTAAATGGTAAGGGGTTGTTTCTCTCTAAATCGCGTTCGCATTAAGGGTTGTTTCGCCCTAAATCCTGTTCGCCCTATGTTGTTTCACCCTTAATATATCTTAATAATTTATAATGGTTAATATTTAAATATATCAACTAAACTTATTGATGACTTGTTAGGTATATTTCATGTAGAGTATGTGAGAGCAGACCAGAGTCAGCTTTCCACAGCTGTCGTTTGTCACACTTGCTTAAATTTACAAAAGCAGTACGGATATATTTTCAAAGTATTGAAAAAATGTTTCATCTAAAATATCAAGGTACCATTGAAACCTCTTAATGACAAAATATTAATATCTGTTAATGGATCTAACATCAGTCTTCTGAATAAGTGCAGGGAAGTATATTGGTAATATATGGTGCCTCTAAAGTTTATTTCAGTATATATTTAGGGGAATGAATAAGTGCAGGGAAGTATATTGGTAATATATGGTGCCTCTAAAGTTTATTTCAGTATATTTTTAGGGGAATGAATAAGTGCTGGGAAGTATATTGGTAATATATTGTGCCTCTAAAGTTTAATAAAGGTCAGAAGTCATGGAATATTCACATGTATTAAGGGAGTATGTCACTGGTGAAAGAAACGTTTAATGTCCCCAGTGGTATTTTCAGTGCATTTTCATTTTATACTCTGTATTATTTATATTCTACCAAGACACTTCATTATAAATACCAATATCAAATATCCTTTTGATTTTGGTTCCTACAAAACTTGTATTTTTATATTTTTTATGCTCTAATTCAATGATGATCATGAATGATTTAAACATTGATCAGACAATAATTGGTTATTTCAGAATTCCTTCACTGACATCTTATCAGCAGCATTAGATGAGTCTGGAATCTTGGGAGACTTTGATGACTTTGATGAACCAGTTGCCGAACAACCTGTCAATAATGTAACATATCAAGTAGTTCCAAAGGTAAGCACATATTCAGATTTGTTTCTTTTAGATATAATTTATTATGTGTTAATTTTAAGATTTTCTTGGTTCTGAATATCAATTGAATGTTGCATATCAGCAATTTATGTCTCTTTAATTTTATTTAATGATGTTTGAACTTGTAACAAATATTTTCATGTTTGTACCAGTATTGTTATCTAGATTTCAATTTAAATATCTGCGATGATAATTGGCGATGAGGTCCCGTTCATGGTTCACACTTTTATTAGATTAATTTGTGAAAAAAACATGTTGATCAAAACATTTGGGAAATAACAAAAATAGGAAAAAAGAATGTTCAAGAACTTTCAAAAAGTGTAGATAATATTAGGTTTCATTTCTTTATTACAGAACCAATCAATCACAGTACCAGTGACATCATGGAATGGGAACGCAGTTTCTCACAACCGGGTGGGACAGCCAGCCGTGTTCTCTCATGCTTTAAAACAGCTGGCATCTACATCACAAGTTATTCCAACTGTTGGGACCCTACCTAGTCAGGTAAACAGATTAAATGAAGCAATGTTAAACAACAAACAATGTCGTTTATATTCAAAAATTTGTCTAACCTGAATGTTACTGTTTTGAAACATTTTCAGGTTGAATGAATTTGTATATATTTTCTAATTAGGGGTTGACACTAACACTAGTCCGCTAAGCTGTTTTGAAACATTTTCAGGTTGACTGAATTTGTATATATTTTCTAATCAGGGGTTGACACTAACACTAGTCCGCTAAGCCTGGACAAGTAGATTTCAGCAAGGACTAGTGAATCACCTAACCTTACTGGTCCTTTGGACTTGTGAAAAAGGATATCAAATAAGAATATCACTTTTTAAATTTTAGAAAACTGCTTAAAATAAGATACATTGCATAATAATTGTCAAAATTTTCCTAAAGCTTCATATTTTATGGCAGTAGTTATTTAAAAATTCCCCTACAGTCGATTACTTTTGATGTTTCGTGCTGTAGATCGCGATGTTTCCTTATCAGGAAATCTTGGACTAGTTACATAAGTGAAGGACTAGTAAATAATCTATTCAACTAGTCCTGTGGACTACCAAGCAAAAATGTTAGTGTCTAACCCTACTAATATGAAATTATGTTCTTGAGGAGACATCTATGTGGTGTAGATATTGAAAAATGGCAACCCCATAAGAGAGGAAAAGGCTTTGAATTAATGGGTTATTGACTCTTAATGAAATTCATATACATATTCAAGTAATGTTGTTATAAAACAAAGAATCCAACTACAAAACACTTGTCAGATTGAGATTTCATAAAATTCATATTTTATCTTTGCTTAAAATATCTCCAGCACCTGAGTATATATTTGATATTTGTTTTCTCTTTCTTAAATATTTTGGGAAAGTTTTGCTTCAAAGTCTCAATGACTCCACACTCATATGAAAGAAAATGTGAAATGAAATATAGATACCAAAGGTTTTTGTATTTCTGTTACTAGGTTGGAAATGTTCATCAGAAAGTTGCCCTTCAATCTACGCTGGGCAGGTCAGCCTCCTCCCCTGCAATGATACGTATACCCAAGTCCAGCATTCAGAATTCTGCGGCTCATTCAAACACCATTCCAATAAGCATACAGCAAGCAGCCAATGCTGCATCTGGAAACACCACACCGCGTATCATCAAAATCACACGAGTTGGAGGAGCACAGGGTGCAATCAAACTACCCCAACACAGTGGGGCAATTACCCTAGGAAGCCTGGCAGGGGGATCCTTAGCAGGCAAGAAAATCATCATCAAAAGAGCTGTGTCAGGTGCAGGATTGCCAAACATTGGTGGCCCTAATGTGGGTGGACAGGGTGTTGTTGGAACAGTTCGAGGGGTTCCAAATATTGGGGAACTGATCCCACGCAATCACACAGGAGTGACAACCCACATACAGCAACGTCCATTCTCACCGCAGCTACAAGCTGCCAACTCCCAAATACAGATTGTGAGTCAATCCAGTACAACTGAAAGGTCATTACAGAATAATGCAGTGTCATTACTCCAGCGTAGTGGAGACTCGCTACTCATTCCAAGGACAACCAGTGTTATACATGTGCCAACTATTGTCAACACAGCTGCCTCCTTTCCGAAGAACAGTATTGTTGTCAACTCCAGTGGAATAAGTACTGCCTCAACAGGGACCACTGTTGCTAATATAAAAACTACCTTGTCACATAAAGATGTATCTAGAATGTGGTCCAATGAGGATGTTAAGATGAAAAACTTTTCTACCCCAGTCATGAAAAACATGGGTGGTGGTTTGCAGGTAATTTTTCAACATACTATTGGATATTGTGTAAATAGGTAAAAATACATGTTTTCTGCTGGAAATAGGTAAAAAAAAAAAAAAATGCCAGTAAGTCCATCCATTCATACATTTAGGTCAGTTTTTATACGACCGTCAAATTTGACGGTAGTATTATTATACGACTGTCAAACTTGAAGGAAGTATTATGGTATGGCGTTGTCCGTCCGGCGTAAACTTTGTTTGTGCGGCAATCTCCTCTTACATTTTTCGACCGATCTATTTGAAACTTGGTGTACATTATAATCATGATATGAAGTTGTGTCTCCCTTAAAAGAATTTCGATTCGACAATTTTACCAAAACTTCTTGCCCTTTGTTCATTTCAGTATGAGATCTCCTCCTACATTTTTTGACCGATCTATTTGAAACTTGGTATACATTATAATCATGATATGAAGTTGCGTCTCCCTTGAAAGAATTTTGATTCAACATTTTTTCCAAAAGTTATTGCCCTTTGTTCATTTCAGTATTTGATTTTTGTCTGGAGATCTCCTACATTTTTCGACAGATCTCTTTGAAACTTGGTATACTTTATAATCATGATATGAAGTTGTGTCTCAAAAGAATTTTGAATCGATGATTTTTTGCAAAATTTATTGCGTTTTGTTCATTTCAGTATTTGATTTTTTATCCGAAGATTTCCCCTACATTTTTTATAGCATATCGGCTAACCACTCTTTGAATGATGCAGATCTTATTTCAATGTAAGAAAGTATATAACACTATATGGCATTTGACGGGCGTATTTTGTTCCGCCCTGCGGTACTCTTGTTGACCAAGTCCTGCAGCTAATGTCATGTAAGTTCCAGGGTTCACCCTGGACCTAAAAGATCAGTAGCCAAAAAAGTAGCCATGTGTGAATTTCAGTAGCCATTTTTTTAAAACAGTGGCCATACTTTCTCGGCCTCTAACCGATAGGCCCTCCATTAAAATCATTCAATATTTAATATTTTTTGAAGTGCAATACTTTTCAACATGATTTTAAATTAACCCTTAGGCAGCTGCTATGCACAGCATATGCCGTTTTGAAAAGTCAGGTCGTCAGTGCTACGCACGGCATACGTTGTTTCTCGGTCTGTAGGTTTTGATCAGTAGCCAGGAAGTGTGAAGTCGGGTTGTTGCTATATCAAACCCGAACATATATAGTAGAAGGCTTCTGATTGGTTGTTTTGTCATTACTTTTGATATTCCCAGCAGTGTACCCTAGTAACGACCAAAGGTGTGCGAGAGAATTTCAAATAGAAAAAAAATCATGAAAATGGCGGACGGACGTGTAGATTGTAGCGATGAATATGATGGTAAACATTTATTCTCCAGCGTCACCTACGATGATAATAAAGGTTTTGAACAGTTTAATATGGTTGATGTGGAAATACTTCTGTGTAACATAATATGTAACTTTCCAATGATTGGCTTTGTGCCCTACGCAAACAAGAAAATGTCAGCGGACTGAGGCGCACATGTCGTCTGCAGGTGAGGCCGAATTGAACATTGACATCGATACATTTTGAGCCGATTTAATTCTTCAAACTATTTATCGATGATTTAATCATAAACTAGACCGTAGCTAAGATATATCTATATGACGACTGTGACAGTAAATATATTGAATGACGACCTGAAACCTGTAGCAAATCACATGCAATTCTTGATGAAATACCTGACCTTTTTACCTGAGACGCTGATCTGTGACAGCCCTGATTATGTTTATGTTATCAGTGTCAGCCACAATGCACAAGTGAGTAGACAGATCGTTTTCTGGGACAAAAATACAGATTTTCCTCATTTAAAAAACCTAGTAGTCAATTTAGTAGCCACATCGTATTTTTAGCAGCCAATAAAAAATATAAGTAGCCAATGGCTACTTTGGCTACGGACAGCGCGAGCCCTGACTTCACATGTTAAAGTACCTCGATGAGAATAGCAAGAATAACAATTTTATGACTGTCAAATTTGACTTTGAAGATATTGTTCTTTGGACTGAGTCACTGCAGCTAGGATCACACAAATAAATGCTAATGCTCCTGTCTTGAGTAAAACATGTTGCATGACTTTTTGTATCCTTGACCTTTATGACTGCTTCAGTTCTTAAGTGTGGGAGCGAGGTATATGTGTCTTAATACATATTTTTTAATCTCAACTGAACTAATGTCATTTCAATCTATTGTTTTAGCATAGCCTAGCTGGAATGAGTGCCCCTTCAGTGTTGGAAGATGAGGAAGTGGAGGATGAGGTGGAGGAACTTGGACATGCAGAGACCTATGCCGACTACATGCCTAGTAAATGTATGTCTGCCCCTCTCTTACTAACATTTCAGCTACTAGTCCCTTGTTCTTGTGCCAGCATCTCCTGTCTTGTCATCTTTTGAAGGTAGTTGCATACATTTGATGTCCTATCCTTCGGTTCCTACTTGCAGAGACCTACACCAGTCCAATAATATTGCAAATGTCCCATCTCTGTCTATCACAAATAACTAAGTCTAGTTAAATATATATCTCCTGGTCTTGTCTTGAACCTGTCACTGTTGTCGTCCTTTTACATTTAGGTACTCTGTTAAAGTATGTATGTCCTATCGTTCTGCTTATCCTCCTTATATAGGCATTAACTTTTGAAGTAAATATCTGATTATATTTGTGTATATTTGCAGTGAAGGTGGGTGTTAAACACCCAGACCCAGTGGTGGAGACCAACTCCCTATCCAGTGTCGAGTCCTCGGACATCTGGTACAAGCTGTCCCTTCCTGACAGTACCATTGACTATGGTGACCTGTCTGCCCTACAGCTGGAGGCCATTGTGTATGCCTCACAGCGACATGACTTGATCCTACCTTGTGGGGACCGAGGTGGATTCCTTATAGGTAAATCCTAGCTTTTATGCCGCTGTAGCATAGTGGATGTGTCATCAAATGTTTGCCTTTTTCATCTGTAAAACATCTTTGTTCCATCTTCAATAAGATTCATCAGTTGGGTAATATGTAATATCAAGGTTTTACTTTATACACAAACAATGTAAGTATTAAACGTGTTGCAATGTTGCATACTCAGTCATAGCATGACAAAGGTACCAGTCGGTCTTGAAACATTCACTGATTGTGACATGTTTGATATGTATATTGTTTGTGTATCAAGTAAAACTTTGTTACACTTTGTAATCCAATACTGGAAGTCCAACAGCCATAAAACTTTCATGTGGATACACTGAGGAGTTTTACATCATTATGTTAATTGTAGGTCTCTTGACCTATTTATTCCACTTCACATACTTTGGTTATACTTGTCATTTAGCTCCATTTTCGTTACATCCGGGACAAATGTATTTCAAACATTTTCTAATTTAAACATAGTATTAATACATCAGTGAAATAAATCAGTTTAAAGTATGTCTTGAGAGACCATTTTTTTGAAAGACCACTTCTCTTGTGCTAGATTCCCTGGTCACAAGAAAGTTAAACCTGTTTTGAAAGTCATTTGATTTCATGTGTATAATTTAGAGAAGTTTGCAACAGGTCTGTATTTCAAGAAATATTCTATTGTACTATGCAAAGGGGGTGGGGGGAACATGTTCATATATAAGCATATTTCATAAATCGTCTGTTTGAATAAATATTAGCTTTAAAATAAATTAATTTCTTTTACCCCTTTTGGAATAGAATTTTTGTAGTTTCAGAAAATGTTGTATTCATGATCTTCTGTTTGTATTTTGTTTTCATGTTTGACTCGTGATACCATTAACAAGTGTAATGTTATTGTGAAATGTCTTTCACACCACGGCCACTCGGTTAATGTGGGTTGTGTTGTCCCCAGTATTAACATGTAATGCTTTATACACAACAACCTCTCTCTGTTGCAGGTGATGGTGCTGGTGTTGGAAAAGGACGAACTATTGCAGGAATTATTTACGAGAACTACATTCAGGGGAAGAAAAGAGCACTATGGTACGTCATTCAAATAATAGTGATTAGAATTAGAGGGATATTGCTTGTTTCTAGGTGTCAAAGTATTATTGGAGCAAAAACAAGACATTTATGCTACTTAACTCTTTACCACTTAAAGCGCTTTTGAAGGCACGGTAGTCTAGTGGTAGGACGCCAGGCTACTGACCGAAGGGTTGTGTGTTCGAGTCACGGAACGGCACTGTGTTGTATCTTTGAGCAAGATACTTTACTCCACTTTTTCCAGTCTACTCAGCTGTAAATGAGTACGTGGTTGGGCAGTGCTAGAATTGTTGAATGCTAGCTGTTAGCGCCGAAATGGCAGCTCCGGCTGTATGCTCTCCAGGGAGTTACAGAAAGGTATTGGCTGGTTGCAAAGGCCCTTATAACCACGGATAATAATTTGTGGACCGCTTCGAGACGACCTACAAACTAGGTTGTGATAAAGCAGTATATAAGAACATTGAATTATTATTATTATTATCATAAGCACATTTTGACGCTTCCCGACGCTATGACAGGATTTCCTCAGAAACACATTCTGACTCGTTTCTATTTTAAGACCGTTTTCATCGAGGTTCTATTACGTCATGTCCCGGGAATTCCCGCAACATGTCGGGCGATGATTGGTTAACATGTTTTAGACGCTGATGACATATAATCACAAGGTTATCTCTATAATACAGTAGAAACGTGACCCAAAACGAAAGTAGGCACAGATGGCGGACCTGCCAAACAATGCGGCAATCCTGGATAAATGTTTAACTTCTGATTCAGATAACTTTTGAGTTTAAGGGGTTTTCGGAAGTAAGATCAGATGTAGAAATACCTAATGCATACAGTAGTGACTCTAATAGAGGTTGGTCCAGTGACGACAATTCCGATATCAACCATGAACCAGATGTTAACACTGCAACATCAAAATATTATTTAGATCTGGTTTTTGATCCTGACATTATATCTGCTTTTGTGACACACACAAATGATTACGCTTCATGGAAGTGTGAACAGGCTGATAAACAAGACCCCTACTGGTATGGCATTACCAAATACGAGATACATGCATATCTGGGCATGAACGTTTTAAGTAAGAAACAACAACAAAATAAAATAATGTTAAAAGGTTTATAATTATTTTAATATTTTACCAAAAATTAGAAAAATAATCTTGAAACAGGACATTTACAACATAAAATTTTAAAAGCAAACATTTTATTGCTGTGAACCGAGGGATTATGGCTGACAAATGCTAGATTTTATTTAAAGCCAAGGCATAGAGCTGTTCCTATAGGATCTGAAAGTATATACACTGTATTTTACCATACATTTTGTGAGGAGTTATTTCAATATTTGATTTGAAAATCACAGGGGAAAAAACTTGAACATTTCTAAAACTGCCTTGGGAAATGACAACATACATTGTTTACATGTACTGAGGAGGCCTGCCATGGCAGCCATGTTGACTGCTGAGTAAACTTATACATTGTTGCAACATGGCTATGAGTGGTAAAGAGTTAACTGGTAGTTAAATCATTTCAGAGATATATCCCCTTTTAGTTAGCATTTTCTCAACATTCCATATTACATTTGAGTGTTTTCCATGCAAGCATTTTTGTTAACATATCATTAAATATCCAAATTTACAAACTTCGGGGATTATTGTTGCTGAAAAAATATTTGATGTTAACCTCTCTGGGTAACAAATGATTATTGTTCTCAGTATTTCAGCAGAATACCTGAGTGAAATAGTGCTTTATTTTCCGAAAATGGAGAAAAAATGCTATATTTTCAAAATTCATGTAGGAATAGGCTGTTGTAAAATTCAGGTAGAACCCCCCCCCCCCCCCACTGGTAACTTTTCCCCTTTAGGAATAGTGAGTTGGGTACTGCTATGTAGTTTGACCCCTGTACCAATCTTTTTTATAGGCTGAGTGTGTCTAATGACTTGAAAATCGATGCTGAGCGAGACCTGAAGGACATCGGAGCGGGAAGAATAGAAGTTCATGCCTTAAACAAGGTAAGGACAAAAACATACTGTTATAAATCTTGGGAGATCAAAGTAAGGCTTGTATTGTACTCACCCATCATATTTGGCAGTTATTTATTTACACAGTGTACATTTTACACTTCAGTTATAATGTAACTGCACCTGATATTACCGAAAATTCAGGTAAACACTGGAGTGCATTGGAAAATTTGTATAGTTAGGGTTATTCTGCAGTTATTCATGTATGTGATCAAATACAAAGACTCACCTGATGGTGATGATCATATTGTCTATTGATGGTGTATAGTCCAGTGTATTTGAAAGACATTTAGAGTAAAATAAGACATAAATCAAAATTTCTTAATCCTTCATTTAGTAAGCATATATAACATTTTGAGGGTCAAAAGTCATTTTTGAAGGTCATATACCCCCATATAGAGGTAATCTGAAACCCTGAATACTTTGCATAATTCACTAAAGCAAACAAATGTGACATTAGGAGAATATGAATTTGAAAGCCTTGGCCAGGTTGCAATTTTCAAAGCATCACTAGCCTGTAGCTGTTGATCAGAATATATATATACAGGACAGTGAGCTATGACATATGATATGATGTGATATATGTAAACGCCAAGCTACTGTAAATCTATAACATCAAAAATCATCAGATTTGAAGTAAATATTAGTTATGATGCAGTTTTAAATACAAAATACTGTACTTTTCGTAATTATCTATTAAAGAAAATGTAAATCAAACCTTTGAAAAGATGTAAATAATTGAATTTGAAAGAAATAATTTTTAATTTATTATAAATAAAACAAAATGAATAATATTGCAATCGGATTTGTTCATTATTACAGTTTAAATATGCCAAGATCTCTTCAAAAGAAAATGGGAGTGTCAAGAAGGGTGTAATCTTTGCTACATACTCTTCCCTTATTGGAGAAAGCCAGTCTGGTGGCAAGTACAAGACGAGGCTGAAACAGCTGCTCAAGTGGTGTGGCAAGGACTTCGATGGTTGTGTATCCTTGACTCACTATTACTGGCAATATGTTTTTTGCATATGGATAAAAACTATCAGTGTGAATGGGGAGATCTTTCACAGGGGAAATTTATGAAATTCATTTCCATTATTCTTTCATTAACTCTCATATCTGTAACATGTAGAAGATATTTAATGGTTTCCTTTTAAATACAATACTATTGAGTGTGACAGTGCTTATAAATATTATTCAGGAGTGTAGAGGACAAGTGAAAAGTACTAGTATATTCTGCTGTATGGAACTTAACAGGAAAATTATTTAAATTCTATTCTTTACTGTTTATAATGACAAAGTCTGCCTGTCCACACTTTTATTTCCAGAGAGATTATCTTGGACAAGGAAAAATTGATCTTTCTTAAATTTGACATGGTGATACACTGATATGTTCATGTGCAATAGGGGTTTAAACAGTTTTTCAGGTCGAGGTCAAGATTTCTATTATTAAAAATAGACCGGGGGGTGGTGGGGGTGGGGGCCTCAGTGACCTGTCAGGTGTTGTAGTCCGCATAGTTCATGAATGTAAAAGAACCATGGGTGTTATGTTCCTTGACAGTCAAAAGATTATATTTGATGAATGTCACAAAGCTAAGAATCTGTGTCCTGTGGGGAGTAGTAAACCTACGAAGACAGGACAGACAGTGCTGGAGTTACAGAATCGTCTTCCCATGGCACGCATTGTGTACGCCAGTGCCACAGGTAGGGCCCTCCATACTGTCCTTTGGTATGTATGCATCTTTTAAGCCAAACCCAGTGGATGGTGCTATATGCCTTCCCTTCATGCATCATGTACACTAATACCATAGGTAAGGTATTGGAACCAATAGTAAGGAAAACCAGGGCTAGACATTAAGGGTAGCCTGATAATCTGAGACTTGTGAAATCTCCAGCTGCACTAGTGGTTCTTAAAACTGCTAGCCTGATCATGACTTACTACTCAAAATCTTATATTACTTGTCATGTTGAATAATATCAGGTTATTGGAATTTGCACATGACTAGTAATTCAGAAACTACAAGCCTGACTGGCAAATGGCTTTTAAAAATTAATTTCTAGCCCTGAAAGCTCACCTGATGCTTGAATATGTATAGTAACTGCAGTTAGAAATAAGTATCAAGATCAAAGCCTGACTAACAGAGTAATTCTGAAGACATAGATAATAGAAGTTTTTGTTTCATGAGGTATTTGTTATTTGAATGTTTCAGAAATATACTGATAATTCACTGCTATCATTCACTTATTTGTTGATTAAAGCACTCATTTGGCAGTATTGCCATTTGTGAAATGAACCGTGTTATGTACTCTATGAATTCACATCAACCAATCTTGTAATTTAGTTGAAAATGTTGAAAATATGTTGTCAGGTTCTTCTAACTTTGTATGAGTATTCAACCTGACAGAGGCAAAAAGGTGGAATCAAGGTATCTGCTGAGATTTTGCTTTTCTAGCTTTTCAACAGACATGCAAACAGAATTTATCATGGTTTACAATTACATTTCATCTACAGGTGCTTCTGAACCCAAGAACATGGCATACATGACAAGACTAGGTCTGTGGGGACAAGGCACCCCTTTTCCTGTGTTCAATGATTTCATTCAAGCTGTGGAGCGCAGGTTGGTGTTCTTTCTTGATTAATCCTATGCGTATTTAAAAAATACTGCTTCGTGATAAACATCATCTTCAACTCCCCTGTACAGCAAATAAAGTAGTTGTACGTATCTGTCAGTAATTAATCCGTGCTCAACGAAGTTAACGGGGAAATTGAAACAAGGTCTGTCTGTCCGTTACAGGTTCAGAAGAATTGTGCAAATCTTGGAAACTGTTGATACTACATGGATCGAATTAGTATCAATAGTACATCTGGGGTTGCTCTACTGAATGCAGGTTGCAGATGCTTTATTTGACCTACTTTTCATGCTTCTATGACTTAGCTTGATGTTTTCAGCATTAAAGAGAGAACATGTGCACTTGTAAACTTGGACATTCGACAAATAACAGTATTTTCAGTATGGGCATTTCGGTAACATTTGGGAATTGAGCAGGGAATATCAATGCCTGCTTCTTCTCGTTTTGGATTTGTAATTCTTCAGTAATTATAGTCAGAATGTGTATTTTAGACAATCCTGATTCTTTCAAGTCTTGCATGTTACTGGAATTTGTTGTTTAAAACCTTTATCATAAATACAGCTGAACATTATTTTGATTTTCTTCCCAGGGGTGTTGGTGCGATGGAGCTGGTTGCCATGGACATGAAGCTACGTGGCATGTACATTGCTAGGCAACTAAGCTTCAAGGGAGTGTCTTTCAAAATTGAGGAAATTCCTCTAGAGAAGGAATTTGAGGAAGTGTACAATGATGCTGTGAAGATGGTGAGGAACAGTTTGCAGTAGTCAGTAAAATATGAAGAGGCATATTCTAAAGAAACTGAGAATTTGGTCTCTGAATTATCTAAATTTCTATCAGAGTATATGGATATTTGCTGAAATGCGATTCTCTGCCATTTATTAATCAAAGGGAGTAGTTTTGGACTAGACTCATTTGTCCATAATAAAGCAGTCATATAGATTACAGTTTCTAATGTTATGGGCATTGCAACTACATTAATAAGTCCATCAGTGAATCAAGTCAGTTCCCATATTAAATAAAATATTTAATGGACTACAGTGTTAAGAAATCACTAGATTTTTCACATGTATGTTATGATCACATATTGATTTTACATTCTCCAGTGGGTTGTGGCTAGAGACAGATTCCAGAAAGCTGCAGAGCTGATAGATGCTGAGCAGAGAATGAAGAAGACAATGTGGGGGCAGTTCTGGTCAGCACATCAGCGATTTTTTAAATACCTGTGTATATCAGCGAAGGTCAATCATTGTGTCCGCTTGGCCAGAGACGCTGTCAGAAATGGCAAGGTAAACACTACATGCTGTTTATTCTTGGTAGTCAATTCAGCAACAATGTTAGGAGATCGGGCACCTTAGTTCAAGTTCAAAATTTAATCAAAATAATTGCTTCTTAAAAGTTATGACAATAATTTATCCTCTTATTACTTTGTTGTTCTATCAGCAGACACAATTCCAATACCTTCATTTCATTTATCATCACAAATTGAGGTCAAAGTTCAAATAACATTAACCGTGTACAGATCGTAAATCCAATTTCGTTGACTTTTTTTATGCAGCAATAGTAGGGAGTTTGGGATGCGGTATTTTATTACCTAAACTTCAAGGCCATTTGATTTCATTGTGGTATTTTGACACCATCAGAAGGCTGATTTGCATAGCAACATTAAAAGTGATGGATGAAATCATATTATCATGCATAATAATGAAAATAGTTTGTGAGCTTTGAGTTTCATTTTACGTTGCCATATGGTGTTGCAGTGTGTTGTGATTGGTCTGCAGTCGACTGGAGAAGCCAGGACACTGGAACAGTTAGAGGAAAACGGAGGAGAGCTCAATGACTTTGTGTCCACAACAAAGTAAGTCCTATTCTCTGGAACAATCTCTTCATTGATGTCAACTTCTAGTTCAAGTCAGTTTCAAGTGGGTGGATGTAAATCTCTTATCCACGTCAATTTATCGTTTGTGTAAATCTTAGTTCATGGTATAAAATGTTGGAACATCAGTGTAGTGAATGCTGTCGACATGTCCATTTCTAGTTTATTAGGTAATGGAAATTCTGTAGTTCAGTGTTCCACCCATGAGTGAGTGTTCCATACATCAATGATCCACACATCTGAGTTAGACTTGGACAGGTTTTCTTGTTAGCAGATTTTTATTTGTGTATAATGTTTTGTTTTGCAGGGGTGTTTTTCAAACACTAGTAGATAAACATTTCCCAGCACCTGATCGACGAAAAACATTTGACATTTTTGGAATCGGTGGATACCCCAGTTTCCTTGACAACAGTAACCCACCTACACCAGAAAATGGCAACAACAAAAAAAGGAAAAAAGGTGAAATTGAAGTCTTAGAATTCATTTAGTCAATTTAAAATTGATTTTTTTTTTAAATATGTGAGGAGAAAAATTGGCAAACAAGTGTGTTTTTACTTTAGGTTTCTTTAGGATCATGCTTGGCTAAATTTTAGAATAAAGATCATTGTTTTCTGTCTGTTATCTTGCAGGGTTAGACTGCTGAAAGCACATTCAATAACATTAGATTTGTTTTTGTTTTCATAGACCAAAAGTCTTCCAAAAGTGCAAAGAAGCAGAGAGGTAATGGTAGCTCAAGTGATTCTGACGACAGTGACTCGGACTGGTTGAAGTCTGACTCTGATGCCAGTAGTGTAGACTTTGGAGCTGACAGTAATTCAGAGTCAGATGGGGAAATAGACAACTTCAATCCATTTGGCAGTGGATCAGATAGTGATGATGGTAAATAATGCATTTAAAAACATTTTGTTTTTTACTCTTGATGTTTAAAAGAGTAAATAATATTGGTTGAACAAAATTCATGAAATTAATTCTGGCCATCCTTAAGGTGGCTCCACACTTTCGCAATTGACCAGCAAATTTCGTTGAAACCACCATATAATGGTTATGCAACTATGTAGAGTTGATTTTATGAAAATCTAAACGTTTCGATAGTTTTGGGATTTTTTTGGGAAAAACACCAAAAAATTGAAGGTGTGGCATTGTTCGGAATGATAACAGCAATAATAAAATGAAAAGAAGCATTGCTAATTAACTCTACAAATATTTTATCTATCACAAAATATATAAAACACATTACACAAAGTGTTTTTTCTTGAAATTGTACGGATAAAAGTGAATATCTACAAGCTTAAAGCAAACAGAACACAAAGATTCATACATAAAGAGTGGGAAATTGAACAAAAAATACACAATGGCATTAAAATTAATTCATTTTACATTTTACAATCACTTTGATCCTGGTGAGAGTTGTCTTCCTTGAAAAAAATGGAACTTTTTACAGAGGGATACAATTTACACAATGACAGTTACTTTCTCTTTTTACATAACAAAAAAGATGGAAATAAATCAAAATTATGATATCAAAATTGTCAATTTATTGTTATTTTATGGAACTAAATTACTCTCAATCATGTACACTTTAGACATCATTCCACAGCCCGCTGACGTATGGTATATTTACATGTCAGGTACATATGTGACCAGAGGCTATCGCATTGTATGCCGTTCTCACGTGCAATAACACATGCATTTTCATAAGGATCTTGATATTTTACAAAACACTATTTTCACAGAGTAAGTAGACTGCATTTGTTAAAACGATTTAATCGACAGAGCGAAAATCGTAACGACCTTGAGCTAATGAATTTGTATTTATAAGCACGTGATATGCACATGTGAGGTTGGTACACAAATCCTGTCGGTCCGCATTCCATGCGTTTCATATATGACATTCTTGAGGTCGTCTGGTCTTATGTCAGTGTCTTCCCGTGAGTCAGTTTATGTCTATGAATTGGAAGCTATATTTCTAAAGTACGTGTGATTACACATTTCCCAGTAAAATCTCAATATTGGGTGTTGACATATTGTTGTCACGAACGTGTACTAATGTTTACCAGGTGTTTCTAAAATATTCACTATGATATTGAAGTGCCGATATGCAATACGGAAATGACGACACGGTGTACATGCACATTTCGATCGAGATAATTAAGTCCAAGCTGTACTTTTTCCGGAAATACGTCACGAAAATGGACACTGATGACGATGTGTGGAGCCACCTTAGGGGGTTAAAATTGTTATTGACATGCTTAGTTTTCATTAAAAAGAAAGTATTTCATATTGCATAATACCATTATTTGTCAGTTCCCTTAGAGCCTATGTTTATGTCAAATCTTTTTAATACAGATCCTTGGTTAAAAAAGAAGAATAAAGGGAACAATAAAAAGAAACCAAAAAAAACAAAGAAGAAAAAAAAGAAACAGAAAGAAAAGGACGAAGATGAAGAATTTGACAAACAGTTGGCAGCCGCTGGGCTCATGAAGAAAAACCATAGTACCAAAGAAAATATCAACAACCTGGGCAATAATAACACAACCCATAATACTTCTAACCAACCAGGTGGGTCTACATGTTTGGGGGTAGATTTGAGCAGAATTATGATTCTTGCCTACCACATGGGTCATTATCATTTCGGTCAGAAACATCACTGTAATAACAGCTCTTCCTGACCAGATGAGTAATCATGTATATGGAATCAGAGATATATATATGTCACGTGAAAAATGGGGGGTGGGGGGGGGGGGGATCTGTAAAACTTATATTAGCAAAATACTTACAATATACATGTCAATAAGCTTGGAAGTTTTAAATAAATATGCTTCATTTCTGTTCACTTTTTGTAATGAATTTACTGAATAATTCTGGCTGATAGCCATCATGGTAATTTGCAAGAATATCTTCAGTTAAGTTTCACCATTGACAGAAGAATAGGTACTTCCTATTTGCTGCTTATTGACTTAATTGTACATGAGCTTTACATATAATGTTATGAAGTAAGATTTTTAGGGGATATTTAGGACATGTTAAAGCCTTAACGGAAATATTACAGTTGTTTTTTCCCATATCAGATATTTTACCTATTTGAGCAGTCAACAATTTACTGCATTTTTAAGGGAATTGCTTTTCAGAAGAAGAAAAAATATTATTCTACATAAGTGTGGGTTGAAAAAACAATTTTGCTGGTATTGTTATTGTTTTCTGTGAGAATATATTTCAAGTTTAGTGGAAATGCCACTGCATTTTGCCAAACAAAAAGGTAAAGGTGCTGACAGTGTACTGCATAGATGTGCTTCTGTTTCAGTGCTGGGGATGGACAGTGTGGAGAGAGCTGTGTCTATGAAAAGAGAACTCCTGGATATGTTGGAGGAGATAGGAGACAGCCTGCCTCCAAACTTACTAGACCACCTTATAGATGAACTCGGAGGCAAAGAAAATGTGGCAGAGGTAAGATAAACCAGGCTGTGAAATATTTTTCCGTATTAAGCAGTTGTAACAATTTTAAGTATTACAAATAACAGGTATAAAACGATATGTCTTGAGTAATATATTGCAGTTGTCATAAACTCTGTGACCAGGTGTTGACACTAACCAGGTGTTGACACTATTGCATTACAGATGACAGGAAGGAAGGGGCGTGTCGTAAGTACTGATGAGGGCATTAGCTACGAGTCCCGCAGTGCCTCGGACGTACCACTTGAATACCTGAACCTTACAGAGAAACAGAGGTTTATGGACGGTGAAAAGGTAAGTAGCATTACATCACTTACATGTCACCTATTGCAACTATTTCTAAAAGCTACATATTTCCTGTTGGGTATTTTTTTTCTAATATGATTTATGAGAAATTCTAGACCATTTCTTCTATTATTCTTTCATATTTAACACTGATTCGAAAAGTCAGTTTTCTATTAGTATTCTTTGTATTAAAGTTGTATTCCAAACTTTCTTGCAATATAATTTGTTTTGATTGAAATAATTTTACTTTATTCATTATCCTTTAAAAGGATATAGCCATAATCTCGGAGGCAGCTAGTTCCGGTATCTCTCTCCAGGCTGACAGACGAGCTATCAATCAAAAGAGGCGTGTCCATATCACATTGGAATTGCCTTGGAGTGCAGACAGAGCCATACAGCAGTTCGGTAGGAATAACAATTATTATGCAATTATACCTTCTATAGCACCAGTGCACAAAGACCTATGTATCAAACAGCATGTACATACAACACAAAACATGTGGGGGCCTCTGTAGAATCAGTGGTTTTCTTCTATGTCTTCTGCTGAAGAAACATTGATCTGTTACCCTCATTGCAACACTTGGAACCCTTATCTTTTCTTTTCTACCTGGTCATTCATTTATACTTTGTCTCCCTTCACACCTGTCTTCATATGACCTAGCTATATGAAGATGTTAACCCATATATATATAATCTATCTGAAACTGTTAAGTTATTGTCAATCTCTTAGATAACTTGGTCAATAGGAATTTAAATATTTAAAAAAAAGATCTCTTAAAGTATTAGTCTATTGTAGAAATATTTCTAAATGGTCGGCCATTGGATCCAAATGTTGTCAAAGATACCTTAGTTTATTTGTTTAAGAAGACCTTAAGTAACAAAATGTCCTTCCTGTTCTACAGGTCGTACCCACAGATCCAACCAAGTGCATGCCCCCGAGTATCTGTTTCTCATCTCGGAACTTGCAGGAGAACAGAGATTTGCTTCCACTGTGGCCAAACGCCTGGAAAGCTTGGTGAGTACTGCAAATAAACAGGGCAGATCTTGTTACTCAAGGTACTATTACACATGGGATATTATAGATTTATTTTGGGCTGTTGAGAAAGAACATTGAAGTAATGTCCTGTAAGAATTATGTTCTGTTTTTGTTTTCAGTTTGTTCTAAGATATCCTGAAGATAGTGTCGATTTAAGACAGATAGTTTCACTTAAGTTTTGTTTTTAATACTATATTAATGTATTGGATATTTTAACAGGGAGCACTCACACATGGGGACAGAAGAGCAACAGAATCCCGGGATCTCAGTCGCTTTAATATCGACAACAAGGTAACCATCTGTTAAGTTGTCATGGACACAAGTTGAATGTTAAATAACTGTTATTCGCATGATTTACCCCAATAATAAGTTGGATGTAAAACAAATGTTATTCCTAAGATTTACCCCTAGTAATAAATTAAATGTTAGACAATCCGCCAGTATGTTGGCAACAGCTGCTGTAAAGAAACCAGCCGATATTATATTTTAAAACAAGATAGAGCACACCAAGAAAAATAAACCAAAAGGCTAAGTATACGATTCATGTTTGATATTGTATCTTGATTTCAGTATGGGCGTGTTGCCTTGGAGAATGTGATGAAGTCTTCATTAGGATTTGAGAGTCCTCTGGTCGCCTCTCCTTCTGATTATGAGGGAGATTTTAATGCAGGTAAGTTTCTGGCTGTCCTTTGTTATTAACACTCCCTTCGTGGTTTAAAAGTGGTGATAGTTCTGTTTCACAGATTTCATTTTTATGCCAAAAACATTGGTTGAAGCATTATGATAGCTTTTATTTATCAATATGAATGTCTCATTACATCCTGAATACCAATGTTTTGATTTCCAGGTGTTAGGAAGGGTCTCATTGGAGTTGGCATGGTTACTGTAGATGAAAGAATTAATGTTCCAATTTTAGAAAAAGGTATGTAACATTATATTTGTAACATTATTAAGGCATACTAAAAACTGATATATATCGGTCACAGATCTGGTGACTTTGAGATAAAGTGGATTTTTATGTCTCAAGTGACCTATTCAATCGCCTTTTGTCCGTCGTCGTCCGTCCGTAAACAATTTACATTTTCGACTTCTTCTCCAAAACCCCTAAACCAATTTCAATGAAATTTTGCAGAAACCTTCCATGGCCAAAGGTCAACTAAAATTGTGAATTATATGGTCCCCAGCCCCCAGGGGCCTAAGGGGTGGGGCCAAAAAGGGTAAAATTGACTAAAATTTCAAAAATCTTCTTCTCAAGACCCAGATATGGTAGAATCAACTACTCTTCATAGATGGAAGGGTCTTAAGGTGCTTTACCAAATTTGTGAATTTCATGACCCTGGGGTCTCACGTTTCCCCCTGGGGAGGGGGTAAACTTTACTATAGTTTACATAGGGAAATCACATTTTGGACAAACATTTATTTAATTGCCATTGGAAGTAATTCAATTTGGACCAACATTTGTTTAATTGCCATTGGAAGTAATTCAATTTGGGTTAGCATTATCTGTATTGGATAGCAGTTTGATGGTATGCACATATTAGC